CTGAGCTGTCTGAAAAAAAACCATATGGAAATCACAGCCAAGCTACAGACTGTGGTTTGGGAGTTTGAAACGGACAAGTGATGAGGGAATGTGTTGATGATGAGAAAACTTTGGACAGATCAACTGCATCAAACATCTCACATATTTCACTAGGCTGTTGTAAGTTTGCCAATAAAGTAAATCTCCAACTTTAAAAACCTTGATGGCATGGCAGTGACTATACATGTGTGCCTATAGTGTTTATTTGCAATAATCAGAATAACAAATTACTCGGATTAAGATTTTACATGACATAAGCAAACCTCGTTAATCCTGTTTACATGCTACTTGCCATTATTTTGATTATTCAAAAGTGCCTAAAGGGATAATTCACCCAAAAAGTGATAAATTCTGTAATCATTTACTAACCCTCAAGTTGTTAAAACCTGTATTAGTTTCTTTCTTCTGTTGAACACAAAAGAAGATATTTTGAAGAATGCTGGTAACCAAATAGTGGTTGGTAGCCATTGACTTCCATTGTATGGGGAAAAAAATACTATGGCTACCGGCAACTGTTTAGTTACCAACATTCCTTATAATAACTTTGTTTGCATTCAACAGAACAAAAGAAAGGTTTGGAACAACTTAAGAGTGAGTAAATGATTATCGGGTGAACTTTCAGTTAAAAAATGGCTGCATTCCAGTGTTTTTGACCATGATGGCCATATCCAGTAAAATTGTAAGCATAAACTCTATTTCCTGAGCTCCCCAGATTTCAAAGCTGTGCGTGAGCGTAACGTGCTTTTCCTCTCCAGCAAAAGCATGCCTGCTTCGGTCAGTGAAAGAGAAGAAGAAATGTGGTGAAAGTGTATATATGCCTACATACTGTGATTATGGTTACACTAATTATGAGTATAATCACATTAACATAATTTCAGGACTGCCTTAATCACATTATAAGTGTGAATGTAAACATAGCCAATGTCAAAAACAGAATGCCTCCAAATCGGGCACCAGCTCTGGCACCAGCACTGTCGAAAAGGGGTGAACACATGCCTTTATAAAAACATCAGGAACAGCTACAACACTGTAAATGTTGAATGTGAATTCCTATCATTTAGCGTTTGTCCCTCTCCATCCCCAAGTTCCCAAATCCTACAGTAGGGCTGCACGATTAATCGCATGCGATATTTAACGCGCCTCTTATCAGTAAAGCCGGTTCTGTAATCAGCGGTAAATCTCCATCACCTGCGTGCTTTCACATTGAGCAGCATTAAACTTACTGAGCACCCGAGTTTTCTAAGCTGTGCATGAGCGTAACACATTTTCCCTCTGCAGCAAAAGCATGTGCACTTTGGTCAGTGGAAGAGAGGAAGAAATGCGGTGAAAGTGTATATATAGTATGCCTATATACTGCGATTATGGTTACTCTAATTATGAGTATAATCACATTAACATAATTTCAGGACTGCCTTAATCACATTATAAGTGTGAATGTAAACATAGCCAATGTCAAAATGAACCTTTTCTACTGAAATAGTGCTGTGCCAGAGCTCAGCAGGGAGAATGTCCAAACATCTCTCTAGTCTGCATACTGAAAAAATGTTAACATCCAAAATGATTTAAATTATAGAATGAAATGTTATTTAATTTTATAAATGTCATTTAATTTAATTTTATATTTTTATATGATATATAATTCAAATTAATCCTAATCAATTCGCCCTTATAGTATTTGTGTGTGTGTGTGTGTATATATATATATACGCAGGTGATGGAGATTTACGCTGATTACAGAACCGGCTTTCTGACAAGATGCGCATTAAATATCGCATGCGATTAATCGTGCAGCCCTATCCTACAGCTAAACTAACACAGTGAAACCGGTATATCCCTAGTGCCAAATGTAATAACAGATTCTCATAATGAAGGAACAAATATTTTAGTCCTCAGACTGAACAGCTGTAGAGCTCCTAATAAAAGTCTGTTGAGTATTAGTTGGTACCATATGGCCACTTCACACTATTCCCAGAGAAATAAGTGTTTGTGCTGCTATTAGTTATTATTCACGCAGCTCAGGAACTACACAACAGAGGTTGTTAAGTATTGACTGCAATATATTGTGAATTTTTTTTTTCGCATCTATGCCTGAGTTTAGCAGTTTTCTTTCATATCACAAAGAGCAGTCAAGACCTTTCCGCCTTTCAAAAAACAGTGAAGGTTGAAAAAAACAATAATCTTCTCTACTTCTTCTACTTCGACTCATACATCTTTAAATATCAGTCTTCTGGCTGTTTTTTGCTCTGTTCCAAAACCATCTGAAATGCCTACAGTGGCTACCAACATGCTAATCACAAATTCCACTAAAAACAATTGCCTGTCAAATCTCCCTTGTGCTGCCCCCTATCTGAGTTACTGCCTACGTAAAGCATTCCAAATCAGTCTCTTATGAGCTTCCAACACAGTTAGGATGCTGCCTTAGAAAGTAGCTGCCTATGTAGGCAGCAGGAAGCGAGGCTAGGTTTTGAAACAGACCTCTCTCTCTGTCTATTCTCTCACTCTGACTATCATTTTATCCTTTTCCAATCTTACTGCTCACGCTCACTCTTCACGATCTCTCTCTGTCTCCTCCCTCCTTTCTTCTCTCTCTCTCTCTCTCTCTCTCTGTCTTGCTCAGATGGTAACTAGGCTGAGGTCAGGTAAGGTAATGGAGCGCACACTCTTACACAGCACTACCTCTGCTGTGGTGTTGGAAAAGCGGCTGCACTTCTGAATGCCCTTGAGGTGTGACCTCATTCAGGGCTCTGAGGAACAATCACAACCTGAGAGAACGCTTTATATAAACACACATTTTTCCAACATTTAATAACTTCATATATTGCTATAAATTACTAAATCAGTTTAGTAGTAATTGTTACAGGATGACATACAGTCAGCTGGCCATTATCTCAAAACAAACCCTCAGGAGTAGGGGTCCTGTATCATCCTGAAATGGTTTATTTTCCAATAACGACTGGCTGACTGTACATTATCTCGCTGATTAACAAATGATAAATAAATGGACATGAAATGTGTTACAAGAAACATGAAACTAGGTCATTATACAAAAATATTTTGACCCATCAGAATCAAGAATTCCAGAGAGCCACGAGTTAAAGGGAAAGTTCACACAAAAATGAGAATTCAGTCATCATTTACTCACCCTCGTGTGGTTCCAAACCCATAAGACTTTAGTTCTTCTTTGAAACACAAATGAGGATATTTTAATGAAACATGAGAGATTTCTGTCCCTCCATTGAAAGATTGACACTTCAAAAAGTGTATTAAGACATTGTAAACGTTCATATGAACCAAGCAGTTTAATGCAGGTCTTCTGAGAAGACACAATCACTTTATATGATGAACAGATTTAATTCAGGGTTTAATTCACGTATAAGCGCTGATCAACAGACATACATCGAGCACATCAAATATCGTAAATGAAACCTCAACTGTACTTGCTTGACATGTGAGAAAAACCTCACCGGTTCTTGTGTCATTTAATTACTAGACTTTAAATGGAAGAACAGAAATCTCTCAGGTTTTATTAAAAACATCTTCTCTTTTGTTTTGAAGAATAACATTTTATGAGGTAAGTGAGTAGTCGATAACAGAATTGTAATTTTTAGATGGAACATTTAACATACAACTCAAACTAACCACTAAATACTGTTTACTAGTATAATATACTAGTCCAGTATATGAGAAACAAGTGCTAAGACTACACTGTAAAAAAAAAAAAAAATCTGTGACATTTACGGTAAAATACCATCAGCTGTGGTTGCCAGAACTTCACCGTTAAAAATATGGTAGCAACATTTTAGGTTTTACAGACTTAACTTAAATTCACAATAAAAAAAACGTATTTCATTAACTGATGTAATGTTAATAAACCAGCATATTAAAGTACTAATATCTGTTTTGAACCATTGTAATACTGATAACCACCAAAAACAGGTGGTGATGAGAAAGTCACATGATGAATCAAAGCTCATCACAAACAGCTCTTCCACGAGCTGAGAAGGGAAATACTTAAATGTAATTACAGTTATTCACCGTATATAGTATGGAAAGCTACTTATAGCCAATTAACAGGTTTTTACTGTAGCATTTTTACAGTCTTTTACTGTTAAAATCACAATCATTTTTTACAGTGTAGGAATATCCAGAGTAATTTTTTACTTAACCACAGATGCTTTCCATAGGCGTTAATTTGGAAGAAAAAAATCTTTATATCTTTATATCTAAATCTAAATAAATAAACAAAAAGTTCAAAGTTTTCTTCAGGGCAAAACAACAGCAACAATGCCTTGAGTACAAACAGGTGTTTCTTTAAATAGATGCTGATGATCACTTTTTCCCCCCTAGCTGTTATACACTACATGCTCTGTGGAGTTTGGATGTGTCTATTGGCTTAATCAGCAGTTTGCACCTTTCTAAAGAGGCTGTGATAGTGCTGTGTCTGCGTCAGAGCTAATACAAATGTCCCACTTAAAAGTTCAACTTCACTAAAAGCAGTAACAACATTTCACTCCCCTTATAAAATGTGAATTATCCCATAGGACACTGTTATCTAAATTTAGAGGGTTAAAATCCAGGCCAGGACTACTTTAACAAATATATGACATTTATGCACTACAAAGTATTGTGTGGTGTATGGCAAATATTAGTTTACTATATCTCTATATGGGACTTTTTATGTACATCTGTTTCATTTAGATGAACTATTGATGAGTTATACAATCCACATGTGTAATCTATAATTGAATTAATCTCTTTTGAATCACTTAAATCCAAACGCATAGTTTTGCCATCTAGAATAGTTACAATCTCTAGAGCTTCTTGAAATATTATGCATAAACCAGGCAGGAATTCATGCTGCTTTAAGCTGGCCTTTTCAGCAAGGAATCATCCCGTTAATAAGACATAAAGACATTTCACAACAGAACACGTTTGTAAGTGAGAAAATAGATGAGTCTTACCTTCTACTGCTCTTTTGAAGAAAACTTTACAGCTTCCACATGTAACAACCCCATAGTGACATCCTGACGCCTCGTCTGCACACACCAGACACACTTTGGCTGTTGAAGACGTGTGTCTCAAAGATGCACTGAAATAAGAGCAAATAAAATTGTACCTGTAAACTGTACTTGAGACATCAGGTGCAGGTGACAAACCACACTAATGACTTAACTCAACATGGTTCTGTGTTGCATTGGCAGTTCAAGGGTAACTGTGGGAATTAAACTATTTTAAGTTATTTTAATTATTTGAAAATTGCTGGAAAATCAGAAACAATGCAAATGGAAGTAAATAATACTCTTTTAATCAACAAATTGCTTTTTTATTCCAGACATGGGTCAAAGAAAATGTGCCAAGTCCTTAAAAATGTAACCTTGTGTCAATTCATATTGTGTCATTTTATATAAAATATAATACAAAATTGTACATTTTAAAATGACATAACTCTAAAAAGATCCTGTGATAAATATAGGATACATATTTTGACATTAAATACATTTGAGTGTACACAATCAGTATTTTCTATCATGTTTCAAAGTATTTTTTCTGCATGTTGGTTGCACATGTTTTTGAAAAAGCAGACAGAAGTTGTTCTATTATTATATTATTATTATTATTATTATTATTAAACCACAAATGATCATTAATCAATTATTACAGAATTTTAATTAATACATTGTAAATTGTCATTAACAAATTAATAAACGCAGATAAAAATAATTAAAACCATTTCATTTACCCGCCTACTGTTACATTAAAAAAAGGCACAAAAATAACAGAATGGTCATAAATAACACCCCAGGTCTGAGCTAAGTTTGTCCTGCTCTGCAGGGCCGTTTGAGCCCAATGATTTTAGCACTGCAGAAATCACGTAATTCCCACATTGTTACTGGGCACCCAAAGGGCACGGCATATGTCACTGACTCATAACGTATGCCTCACCATTTTGCTCCAGATCATAAGAATGGTCTGTTCAAAAAACCGACTGTACACCATCTACACAAACACACCCATATATAACACGCCACATTCAAAGCAGTCGATTTATACCTAATCTACTGGAGCCCACAAAAGCAGTGCGCACAGAAATAAATACTGAGCAACATTAAGTGGCAGAAAATGAGAGAACGCTGGAAACTGAAATAGAGAGATTTTTATATCCCGTGCCCTCCAAAATGAAATTGACACATTGAAAATGAAGCACATACTCCAAATAGTCTGGCTGACTTGGCAGAAATCTGATTAAATTGCCCAGTGAAACCTGACATGTCACCCTTTGAAAGACGCCTATGGTGTGCAGGAGAAACGAAGCTCGTTTAAATCCAACAGTAAGACTCGAACAATACTTTAATGGCAAGATAGGCTTAGCACGTACGTCCCCCGCCCCGACTTTGATAATGAGCGTGCTCTCGTTTTAATCAGTAGTGCACGGTAATTGTCTGGTTAGCATTCTGACAACATCCTTGAGTCTTAACAAGCCTCTGCGTCTCAGAGGCACGTTCCCTCTCAAGGCCTGGTGCGGGTAGTAACTTCACCGCATCTTTCTGACACAGTCGAGAGGGCTGATCTAATTCTCCCTCGTCCGTCTAAACACACATTCAATTTGTTAGCCGGTTAGCAGGGGTCTCTAGCAAGGGAGTCGATTGGCAGGCCCTGGTGAGCTAATCGCCCCGGCGGCACCGCAACGCTCGCTGTGCATGATGTGGAGAGGTCTGGCTGTATTAAACTGTTCAGCGAGCCCCTCCGTTTCTCTTGTTCTGCACTGAGCGTTCCTTGCCACCGAGTAAAAAAGACAAAGACAAAACAAAGGGCTGACAAGGTGACTGCTTTTGCAGGAAGTAGGTCAGTGTTGGTTGTTATGAAACAGATCGCCCTTATGACCGGCATACTGCTAGAACGCTGCTTTTGTGTTTTGTGCATGAGAGAAAAACACTAATTAACATCTACAACTTTAGCTGATGGATGTTGCTTGTATTTTTTTGGTATAAATAATGAAGTGATTGGGTAACCTGCTTCACCTCTCTTAGAAAAAGTTTGCATTTTGAAGTTAGATTCTGAATTGTACTTCCATTTGCGCCATTTACTCTGTGTGTTATTGAAATGACCCTTACTTCTGTGGTCAATGAGTGAGTTTACATGTACAACAAATGCTGATAACTATAAAAAAACCAGCTCATTATAAAAACCTGAAAATGCAATAAACCGTGTTTACGTTAGATGTTTAATTCTTTGACATTTGCTCTGGTTTTGAAATCAAAACATGGACAGATTGATTCAAGAATAGGGTAAAAAATAGATATCATACTACTACTACATGATACTACCATACATTCATATTTGATTGATTACTATAAGAACTGCAAATATTTTTGTATTGCAAGGTTTCTGAAATTCTGCAAATGAGGCATTATCTAATATATCATATATATCTACTAATATATCATATTATATCCACTAATATATGGCATATTTCCACTAATTTGCATACATTTCCGAAACAGAAATCACTGGTTCAAAATTTCTTTCTCATTTTGCCCACATTCGAGTCAAAGGTTTTTGCAGTAGGGATTTTAAATATCTTTTTTTTTATCCCTAAATAAATCAGAAGATACTGTCAACTGACAGGAAAAAAAATCATAATTTTTTTAGGAATAAAATGTAATATAAAATCGGGCAAATAATAGACAGTATGAACAAACCCCTCTGTAAAATCCTTCAGAATATAGATAGGAATAAAACTGGAATAAAACAAAGTTTTGTATACTGAAGTGGAGATCCACTTTGAGCATATAAAGCATATAAACTTTGAGCTTTTATATGCAAATAAAGTGCAATAACATAAAAGCTGTATTTGTTCTTTTCTCTGAAACAACACGTTTTGAAATGACAAAGAGCCCAAAGTCTCAAAATTGACATTTTTTTTTTTTTTTTTTGGTCGCTATTTGTGGCCTTTCCTTGATAAAAGAACACAACATCTTGTATGTTGTATAAGATGCATGTAAACACATTAAGCAATGCTTGAAATGATTCTCTGGAAACAGACATGTCATGAGAAATGTAATAAGTAAAAGGTGTGGGGTGAAGTGAGGACACTTGTAACTATGTACAGGTGTTCGCATTTCTCATTTATTTTATGTACAATTGCAGTCTAATAAGAATGGACTCAGCATGCATTCAGATCAAACAGCAGTTTTTTCTAGCTTTGGGTCTGTTCTTTTCTTTTCTTTCTCTGTAGATATGATTTTTCATCTTCAGATTTCATTTAAAAAAATCAGAAATACATCTGTAAGCAAGCAGTTTGCTTGAAATACTCAAGAATGCAAAAATGCAGAAGCCCTCTTTGACCATTAATATGACAATTCTGTCATTCCTGTTATGCAATGCCTTTTGAATTCTGTAACTTGAACATATATATATATATATATATATAAGACAACATTTCTTATAAGGACATATTAGACTTTGCTTTGGTCAAGATCAGGCACTTTATTAAATACCATTATTTACACAAATGAACATGTTAGAAGAGATCAATGAGGGTTTGAGAGTTAGCTTACATGAGGATATTAATTTGCAGTTAATTTAACAATATTTTGAATTTTAATATCATAATGTCTGTAAGTTTAATTTTAATCGACAGAATGGAATACTTTAGAGTGAGACAGAACAAATAATACCACAAAACATCACAGAATTCATCAAATTCCTTGCTAATACTGTACTTACTGAAGTTCGTGTTCCTATTAAAATTGATGTCATTTCCTGAATGATGGTATCTGGCTTTCTTTTTTTTCTTTTTTTTAGAATATTCCAAAAGACCAACAGGACAGTAAGTAATATTAAGGACACAGAATCATTAAAAACTGATTACTAAATACATTCTCAAAGCATTTTCTGATTAGAGAAAGCATATATATATATATTATCTTGGAATATGGGTTACTGCAAAGCCCCCAGGGAAATAAATAACAAAAATAGCAACATCCACTCAACCAAAGTATTGCAATTATCTTCATTTAATTGTGATATTACGATAAAAGAGATTAATCTAACATCTACTATTCCTTCCTTTAAATTTGCAAACTTTATATTCTGTCCAATACATATGATTGCTTAAAAATATACTGCACAGTAGGAATGACCCAATTGCATTCGTTAAGCAGAATCTGTAGTTTATGTTGGTGCAAGAGCCATAATACAGTATGTTTAATGACCAAGTATCATGGACATAAACAGGAAGCAATTTTTTTATGATACTGCACCCTAATACGTAAATGCGTATTGTTCCCTGTGCAATTACACAACCTAAACTCTTTCAAAGGAAGCAATTGTGAATTGAAATGGTAGTGATCACTTGCCGGTCATGGATGGAAATAAGGATATAATACATTATGTTCAAGCTCAGCTTGGAAACTACAGGAAGGGTAATGGAATGCAGAGTTTGGGTATTCGCTATATTAGTTTGATTCTGAATATTTATTGCTGCTTACGTGCTGCTGCATCAGCTGAGATCTGCAGAAAGATACTGGCAGGGTTGAGAAAGAAGACTGACAGATGGATCAGGAATACAAAAATAACAAACCATATAACTGCTCGAATGCACTGCGCTGGAGCTGTCATGTATCAATCTCAACAGAGCGCTAAAGCAGCAGTCTTTCTCCTGCAATGGGCAGAAATAGAACATGCGGTGATAGTTACACTGAATTTAAACTGTTAGAGCTGTTCTCTATCAGTTAAGGTGGGTGTAAAGTTATCAGACTTCACAGTACACAGATGCTAACCAAAGCCAGAAAGAGAAAGGCTAGAGAAAATGGGTCCTGCTCACTTTCAAGAGGATCACCATTCATTGTGCAAACAGCGACCGCACTTACCGACAGCCACCTCCTCTCCAGTCTAGAGTATTTATGTAACACAACTTGGAATGCGGCAAAAGCTAAAGGTAGATTAGGTAAAACAAACAGGGGAGAGGACAAATGGCTTACATAACCAAAGTGAGACAGTCTAAACATTATCACTGCACCCACTCCACGCACCACGCAGACCAGCCCGCAGCGGGAAATTATGATCAGCCCGCGGAGAATTATGGAT